ATTTTGAACCTCGAACATTTTTGCAAACATTTTTGGAAATTTTATCTTGATGTAGCGTTTATTTGAAATTTCACAGTGCAAAAGCGTTGTAAAATTCATATGAGAGTCGAATATTTTAATGAGGAAACTCTGGATATTTTCAACACTAAAATAAATTGATGTAAACCGAACTGTACTTGTGAATTAATTGCTCGAGTGGCCGGCACCCTTAAAAAAAGGGATTTTTGCACCTCAGTGACGTCATGAAAAACGCCACTTCAAAGCGAGAAATATCTTAGTATAGCACCGTGACTCATATTTTTCAAAAAAGAAAAAAAATTTTTACAAAATCGTTTAAATGACTATTTTTCTCTGGATTTGTTCGAATTTTTGATTTTTGAACAACCAAGAACTTGCAGCGTTATATTTTTCGCAGCAGGAATATTAATTTTAAGTTATCCAAGCCAGATAGAAAATCATACTCGAGGAAAAGTAATAAATGAAATTGTCCCGATTAGCAGATCGTAAAAGCCCGAATCCAAACAACATTGTAAAGAATGCCTCTAATCATTTTGTTTTCATCAATTCATATGTTAAATGTGATTTGTAATTCGATTCGTCCCTTTTCAGAAAATGTACTTATTGTGCACAATTCATGTAGCTTAGATAATCTATTTTTCGCAAAGTAAGATTCTGCATCATTGTTGAGCTTATTAAAAATCTCGTTACGTTGCAGCAAACTGTGTATCACGTAACAAACAAACCGAGACAGTTTGAGTAAAACGGCGAGTTCTAAATAGACCACTCAGACATGATTAGTTTTTGCGGTCCAAAACAGATGTCACCTCAACCCAGTATTTACATAAGCTATTGAGAGGGTTGTAAAATTATACAGAGCCTTCGCGAAGCCAATTGCCAGCGGAAAAGGGAGAGTTCTCAGCGCTCATTTCAGGTAAATTGTACTCTAAAAACCTTCTTTTCGACTGATGAAATTCCAAACCGAACGGCGCAAATTGACAAACAGAATAATACTTTATGCGGCATAATATGCGAATAGGCCTCTTACTAACGTATCTTTGATACAACCAAAAAATACGATTGAACCATGATGTTATTCACATTCAAGGTTTTTTTTCCAGTCAGTAGATTCAACTATTTTTGCCAGCTTGCTTTCGATAAACACACGGTGCCTCATAGTGGGAACCTTCTACAAACGTATTTAAAAATTATCCCAAATTTGGAGTTACTGCGAAATCAAATATAGACAAGATAAACCATACTATTTTGATTTCAGTCATCTTTGCAAGTCATCCTATTACTGATATGTTTCAAAACCAATTACATTAATTACTTAAAGGAAGGAAAGCCAGTAAGAAACATCATGAAAGAACTTCATTCCTAAATTTGCCTACTGACGTTTCCATTGTCTAATTAAAAAATTGACTAATCAAGTAAAATGATGTTCATAATTTTTTTTTTCGCAACAAGTATTTGAGTTGATAAGTGAGACTAATTGTGTTTTGCCATGGATCATTTTCATGTAATGTAACAGCAGCCATATTTGTCGTACGAAGCCAAACCAGTAAGCTTTGTAATACATACCTCATCTTTTGACATTCACGGATGAAAGAACGCAAGACTTGATTTTGCTGGCGTAAGAAAAACGTGTATGAGATATCGTGAAAAAGGAAGAAAGAGATTTAGCAAAACAAAACAGAAAAAGGTAAAAAAAAATTTTAAAAAATCTCATATGACTCAGGAGACAATCGTGTCTCTCTTGTGCGAAATTGTCCTTCGGAAATGGTCATCAAATGTAACTCGATGATTTCGTCGCGTGAGCTTAAATGTTGCGTTTAAAGTGAAAGAAACCACCGTAAATATCATCCTTAACCCCTTCATTGATGTAAGAAATAAAATTAAGCGTCGCGATTACCATCGCATTGAAAGGAAGGCACGCTTCGATGTAATTAAGCACTGCTTTGTAGAGACATTTGAGTTTAGCTTTAGAGGCCATCAGCCTTCATAAATATTTTTTTTTACTTATTCCGAGTAATTTGATTCAATTTACATTCTTACGAAAGCCGGCCACGTGGAAATAGTCACGTGACTGCAATTGATACCAGATGGGAGAAAAGGTATTGAGGATTTTCACTGCGGTTATTTTAAGTGGGTAGATCTTAACACGATAGGAAACGATGCTTTCCCTGATTAAGTCGAAGTGAAGACTGCATGTTGTCTGGGATTTCTTTACCATAGTATGTTCTAGCTCTTTGGGGTGCAGATTCTTTGATCTGATGAAAACGACTTACGCTCATTTCATTACAAAAAGCTTCACCAAAATTTACAAATGAAAGTAACAAAACAAATTAAATATAAATTTACAAGAAAACACACTTGTTTGGTTGTTTTTGCTTTGCCTCAATCATCTTAATGTTCTGTGTTTATATTCCTTACTCCTTCTTTCAATAAAATTTTCATAACAGGTTTTCGACTTCTGATTGTAACAGATATCTTTGACAAAAAAACGCCAGAAGACCCAAAACTTGAACCGTTGATTTTTTTTTAAAGAAACACTCGAAAGAGTAGAAGAAAGACTAGTGACTGAAAAATTAAAAATGGAAAAAATCTGTGCGGCGAATTCTATGAAACAACATTACTAGCTTAAATGGAAGAGTTGCAATTGTTATCTTTTGGGACTCTTATTAGTTATGCATTTTTTGTTTTGTCATTTTGGCTTTTTCAGAAAGCTATAGTGACCACGAATAACGATAGATTTTTATTTCAGAGCTAGGATAGGGAGCAGTACGAAAAAAATAGAGAAAGAGAAAAAAAAAGTGATAATTGTTTTGTCGGTACTCAATCAGATGCGGTTTTCACTACTAATACAAATTTTGTGTAAAAAAGTAAAAGCTGCAACACTTGGCCAGCGTGGAAACATCTTTTCGAGATTTGAGGTAAACCGCACGAGAAGCTTATAAAATGACGAAACCCAACCTTTCAAATTTCGCATTTGTGGCTGTTTGCTCATTCCTTTAAATATTGTCATTTTACTGGATAATGCAATTTGTTGAAAGTAATAATTAATTAGAAGAGCGAGCACTTTTGAAATAACAATTACGCTTTTAGTGTTTATACGTTTGTTTCGTCAAAATTTGCGGCCACATCTCTTTCACATTCAGGTGCGATTTTTTTTTTAAACCAAGCAAACGTTTAGTTTTAAGTGCTGTGATATAAAGCTGGGCGTATTTTCATCAAGGCTTCTTCTCTCCTTTGTTTCAGATTGAGAACTCGTATCTGTGAAAGAAAGGTAAGAAAGTATTCCTATATAACTTTACTTCATGGCCACTCTACTATATTTTTAAGGCCAGCTACTTAAAATCTATTTTCTCTCCGACTGGGCAGGGCAATACAAAATGGAGTGATTTTAACTTGTAACTTACGTTACAACAAAATAGCTTTATTTTGATTAATGCACGAGGTTTGTACCTTTCATGTTCTCTCAGTGTGTTCTCATAATGCGAGATCGTTAACCAGGTTTTCCTTATTAGTGAAAAAAGTGTCCCAAAAAATGGTTAAGGGAAAAAATGTAACTACAATGATCATGGTTTTTTTTCTATGTGAGATAAATCACAATCGTCTACCTGACTTTTTAAGCGTATTCCTATATCGAATCAATTTAAAAAAAAAGCTTCATTTTTTTCTTAAATAATAACGTATTTTTCTTCATGTTGTCTTGTTTAAATTAAGCACGTGCCTTGCGGTTTGATGTCTGAGCATGCGCAGACATTTCCAGCTGTTCCATCCTTTGCTTTATTAACATGTTTGTCTGGAATAGATAACAAATTAAAAACATATATATAAGTGCACCTTCATAAGTTGTCTATGGTTCATGCGACGACGGTAATTAGTTCCAGTGGACATCTAAATTTATGACCTAGCGACATTCTGCATAATCATTGCTGCACAATTTACTAAACCAGAAGCCCATGGGTAATAGGCTCCTGACTAAATCTGTTTCAAGCAGACTCTAAACAGACACCAAAATAACAAGCGAATTGCACATGGCTTTAGTGCGCCATTCCCACCGTTCCTCGCGCGCCCGCTTTTCGCTCGTCTTAGTCCACTCCCTTGCAGCCTCTTTTGAAAAGCGCAATATTTCGGGTTTTATTCGATTAGAAAATGTAGAAAATATCATATCTGGATTATTACAAAAGTATGTTATGTGGGTGTCTTCAAAGTCTTAAGGGGTGATTGAGGCTCACTTTTATGGCGCTATCCACATCGGAAGAGACAAATAATAACATCGTTGTTTCATGTAATCACGATGAATTGCCACATAACTTTCACGGTATCAGTATCCACTGGATATATAAAGCATAACCTCTGAAGATTCTAAGATTTATTAGGAATAAATTGATTATTATATTTACAGCTGTTATTGGTCGAAATTTAATGAATAAAACGTCAAAATTTGTTAACAATATATTTTACCAGTAAGATTATTAAAATGTTTGTGATAAGTTAATTTCAAATTCTATCAAAGTTATCAGGTAAAATTAGTATTTAAATGCCTGAACTTTAATTTGTTTCAAAATGTCTCTCAATGATTTTTTGGTTTGTTGAGCAATGTAAAGGAGAGAGGCTTATTCTATTTGCTTCATGATTCTCTGTTGAACCTCTTAAAATTTTGTATTTCAATTTTGTATATGTGAATAAATTAATGAATAAATGTATCACTGAGTAATAACTTAATGGTTTACTTAAGTCATAGCAAGAAAATACCATTAATAAACGTTGGTAATAAAAGTCTCAAAAGGTCGAGGAGAAATAAAATTGTTTCCAGTAAATTGAAAGATTTTTCTTCGCTGATTCACTCGGCTCGTTTGATGAAGTAGCCAGTCGGCAATTTTCTGTGAGTCACTTGTCGGCTTTCGTCGATTTCGTCATTTGACAATCAGCGACTCGCTTCTATGGAAACACGGTCTAACCAATCAGGAATTCTGATAGACTTGATGAAACCTAACACGAGCTCTGCTGTTTAACTGAGCGACAGATATTATTCAAGGTGAGTTTCTTAAACTTAAATTTGTACCTGTGTTGTAACAAATAAAATAGGTGTTTAATGCATAAAAGAAACCAATAAAATACAAATTTTGTGCAATAAAATTAAATACTAATTGATATAAATGTTTCGATTATTCTGAACGGAATTAGTAAATTAAAAACTGATAATTGAACAGAAAAAAAAACCTGAACTAATTTTATTTATCTATCTAATCTTTTGAGATTTTTTTTGACATAATGCCATTGCTTTTATTAAATTCACGCATGTCGGTCTTCAATCGTTTAGCACTAAAGATCAAATTTGTAACTCTCCCTTGTTGATGCTACATACGTCTTTGTGATCTAGTTAAGAGACTTCGCTGCTTCGTCAAGATTAGTGTGTCTGTTGTCACAACTTTTTCGCCGGATAGGTTATCAAAACTATCTTAGGACAGGGTAGTCTAATAAGTACCACTCAGATTATTATGGAGTACAGCTTATTCCTGAACTCCACTGAACTAATTAAGAAAAATGGTGGACTTAACATTTGCGACGCGTACATGATAATCGTTCATCTTGTAAACAATTGCATTTACCTCAAAGACTGACCGTGACCTATTTTGCGATATAATTACTAGACATTTCCTTTGTTTTAAATCTCACCCATAACGAAATCCTTTAGTAAATCGATCAATTTCTAATTCTTTTGAAAATGATTGAATTTCTCTTCAGAATGGATGTGGTCAAGGCTGGATTGACAATATTTCTTCTAATACTGACGATAGACCTACCTGAAATTCTGGGACGCAGTGTTGTAGTGACACAAAATTCTAGGAGAGTTAAACCATCACCAACAACTCATACGGCCAACCATCTGTGCGGTGATCACCTTATTTGGGTACTAAAATCAGTGTGCACGGCGTTGTGGGAATCAAAATGGCCCAAACGAAGGCATAGTCGCAAGCATAGACGAGGTACTCATACAATGATGATGTTAGAATAATTTTCATTTGAGTGTCTTGGGTAATCCGAGATTGCTTTAGGTTTACTTAGCTTTGCTCTGTGATTGGTCCCGAAAACTTGCGTCATCCTCAGGCTTAACCAATCAGATGCAAAGCTAACAACAATTGGGACTCGGTCATTCGCGTTTTCGTGCGCTTTTAGCAGTTTGCTTGTTTTCACTAAGAGTTCTCATTGGCTCGTGATAATGTAAAACTTTGTCGTAATCGGTCGCCGGAATTACTTTGGTTTTCGACGCGCAAATGAAACTGCTCTTACTTAGGGGAAAACAAAATGGCGGTCTGAAGGAACTGTTTTGAGTCCACCATATTCATGAATAAATTAATGAAAGGTGAGATGTCTGAGAAAAGAAGGAAATTTAGAAAAGTGAATGAATGAAAGAATGGATGGGGAGATAAATGAATGAATCATGTGAATGATGGAAAGATTATTTATTTTAATTTACAAACTTTTGCAATAACCATGACATTTTTACTTGGTAGATACAACCACCGACCAAATTGTTCAAATGAAATACGAAGCAACGGATTTCCTGTCCTCGATACGACGAAGGAGAGACAATGATAACAGAAGAAGCACCGACCTTCAAGAAGAATGCTGTGGTGAAGGATGCAGAGTGGAGGAAATTGCAGAGTATTGTTAATGAAGCTATATTTGTCAGCAAACCTCGTCACGTTAAAATCGCTTGAATTAAGACGAATGCATGGATGTACAAAGAGCTGATCACTGTGATTGGCCGTGTGCATGCTGTTGCCAATTTTACAGGGAAACGGTGTATACGAAAAGGTTTGAAAGCTGGTTAAGCCATCGCCCACGGGGAGCGTACCCGACTGCTTACAAGGAAATATTTTCACGCCATTGCGATTCGCTCGCATTATTTTATGAACAGGGACCAAATATATATATATACATATGTATATATATATTAATTTCTCTGCACTGATGTATTTAATAATATAATCATTATCCCACTATAATATCAGGGACCGCTCATTATTTATTGCCTGAGGAGTTGGAAGATTTTGGTTATGTCACAACAAAATTTACCTGATCCTCCCATAGCGTTCTGTAAAATTGCTATGATCCCCTCCCTTAGATAATTGGATGTCTATTTCCTATATTCTTTTGGTGACGACTGATCCCGTCCGTCCAATCCCCCCTGAAAACCACATATTCTTCCCAAAGTCTTTCACCCCCCCTTAGGCGACAAATAATGAATGCTCCATTAAGATTTAGGAAAAATTGATGAAATAGATAGACACTGCTCTTCGCATGACGAGCAAACGCAGCCTCCACAGAATTATGAGCAAGCTTTAATGGCCAAAAGCATCATTATCACTACAGTTACTCTCATAATAAATATATGTAAGATAAAACGTTATCATGCATGAAAAGTTTAAAAATGACAGTCTCCAATTTTATCAATTTACAATCTCGGTACATTAAGTCGAAGAAAATAATACACAATGTGTAAGCATCAAGTCCGTAAACTTACATAGGTAAATAACCAAATTAAGGTAAAGTTGTAAATATTAGATCACATAAGAAAAGCTTTGTAACGAAATATAATAGAAAACCAGTTATATTTTGAACTTGCGCAGCGTTTGTCGTCATTTGGGATGATTCTAAGCAAAGCCGGAGAAATCTACATGACTGGGCATGCCCTGACTTGAAAGTCCCGGCATGATGATCGAGAATAATTCCAAAAATTAATTCTGTCATTTTGTCTTGTGGAGGAAGCGCATGCGACAGTTTGCAAAATCTCAGTTCTACCTGTGCGAGAGAAAGAAAAAAATGTTCCCAGGACGCATAAAAGTACTTGTATTCCTAGTTCTTATTGAAGAAGTGATCCCTTAGAACAACCTTATATTATGACTTTAACTAGAAAGCCGTTCATTGGCGGTATCCTGTGATGTGTGTCTTCATACATATTACAGGATACTGCAAATGAATAGCAAAGACACCGGCTATCAAATTGTGAATATTCTTTCAAAAGTATCTCCACTATCTAAAACGGTTGATTTTTTATCGATTTTCCGACTGTCTCAACTGAACATGAGCACAGAGAGATAAATTGATTAATCAAACAAATATATGTGTTCATCGCCGTAAAGAAAAAAGTGGGTAATTGTTTCAGCTTGGAAGAATCTGCTCTCATATTTCAACCGTAAGGGCATTAAGCCAATGTGCAAATGAATCTGTTTGGGTTTCAGATCTGTTGTGGGAATTTTCGTAGAGATAACTTTTACCTCGTGAAAAGTCGTATTGAGGGTTTTGAATCCTTTTTAACTACCAAAAGCTGGGTATTTCTGTTAGATTAACTCAACCATGTGAGCTTCTCAAAGATTACCTTGCGTTCTGCACAAGAAAAAGCTAACTTGACTGTCAAAAATGATAGATAAAATTAAGTTTTTTTAAAATTACCTTTAAGTGTTATATTCCTATGGACAGAAACGTGTGCCCAGAAACAAAACCTGAGAAGTACTATAGGTGCTTTTCTTGTTGCTTAAAATTTCGTTGAGATCTTTGAAAGTTATTGAAACGATTTCAGTCGCTGTTTGTAGATGTTTAAATGTTTATAACCTCAATTTTGTAACGTTGTCAACTGCAATTTGTGTCAACCGTCGTCATGGTTTATCCTTAATTCTCTTATATTTTTCTTTAAGCTGATAAGAGAACAGTTATCTCAAAGAATATTTCATTTACATGCTCAAAATCACTCAAATAATCATTTTCAAATGCAATTAAACTTGCTCATTGCGTGGGCTGAAGGAAGAGTAAACTCTGAAAATTTCTGTGATATCTTTCTGCTCTGTTGAAACTGCCATTATTCTTCATTTGAAAGGCGGAAATTGAAATGTGGTGACGCTTCTTCCTTTCAACACGGGTGTCGACAAGAGTTAATTTAATATTTGTTAGATTCCGGTTAATAGACCAAAATTAAACTCGTTTTTAATTTACAGTCAATAAAAAGGAAAATATTTGTTATGTAATGCAAGTGAATTTCCGATTCGGCGTTCACACCATATTGGGTGAACAACTCTTAAGTGCTTAACTTTAATATAGAGTCATAACAATGATTTTGCACACAAGTGTAATTGTATTGATAAAACATGTTGAGAATGACTAATAATTTTGGGTGTTTTCTACGAAGTATGATCATTTACTGACATGTAAAGTGTTCCAGAAATTCTTGCCAATTAACAGAACAATTGTTGAAAATTTCATTTAGTTTGGAACGGAGAACATTGAGGTGAAAATTATTAAGTAAACAAAAGCGTTAGATTTCTTTATCATCCGTTTGTCCAATCAAAACCCGGGTCGGGTTTCCTTATAAAGAAGTTTGAAAAACAACGTGAGTGAATTTCCGGCGATTTGAAAGAGTTTTCACAATTTCAGCGAGATTTTAAATCACATTTTTGTATGGTTTTAATGCATTTCTACTTCATTGTAATTTAGTACAAGAAACGTTCTGCTGCTCTGATAGTTAAAGAAGTTTTCCGTTTCCTTTGAGCAGAAATCTCCGAGTCATATTCATAGGTGAGTGACAAATAGTCATTCAACTTTCAAATTCTTTTATTTTGCTTTAGGTATATTACATATTTCACTGCTAGCTTCAATATGCTGGATAAAGGATTTCCAGCAGTTGAAATAAGCTACGATGGCATAAACATATGCATGTAGATCTATGAAAATACAAAATTCATAGGAGGAAAACACTATGATTCTTGTCTGCTGTTCCTAGTGATCAAACTTAAGAAGTCCGTTGTCGTGAAAGCGTTACATTTCATTATAAAGTTTATCTGATTCTAGTAAATTTTAGTTTACTGTTTGTTGTTTTAACACTGTAAATGACACAATTGCCCTGAAAGATTGGGAGAGAAGCGAACTGACTGATTCGTACCTTCGCTAGGTTCTGTTCTGTACCTTGAAGATTTTTAACAAACATTTCATATTTATTATTAATTCTTTCTGATTAGAATTTCCTCGATTTGCGTTTCAAAGCCATTGAGCAGAAGTCTCATCAGTAGACCTCTTTCAGGTCTCAAGGGAATTCCCAACATTGCCTTTTGAAAATTATTCGTACATATGCCTGTACTTAAAGAAAGCTTGAAAGAAACAGTCTAGACTATTACTGCATGACCTGAAATGGGTGAACAAAGCATAAAAGCTAAAGAGGTCTATTCTTCAATCCAGCTTGATTAAAAACTGAACACTTTTGCAAAATAAGACAATAAATTTTGACGAAGAAAAATTGGAGGCTAACGCTGTGTTTCTACCGCGCACGATCAGGACAGTGGATTGTGGCCAAACATTTTAACAGTGTTTCCAAGAGTGGGCGTTATTTTGGTTTATATTTTTAGTATGTTCTGAGCACATTTTTATCAATTAGGGATTTATTTTCTGTTTTAAGCGAATATTTTCTTTTGTTCATGCTATGTTGATGCCGTGATCATGCTACACCATTGTCGGCCTTTTACACGGAAGTGAAACAACATAACAAATTCGTAATTAATCCTCGTCATGCGGGTGAACAAAATATATTACATTGATCCATTCAAAACCGCGTTTGTTATAGTTAAGGATCAATGAAAAGTGCGCCCTACAAGTGATCGACCGGTTTCACGCTCGAGGGACCGATGACAAGTCAATATTGCAAACAGCAAACTGTGGAGTGACATTCCCTTTTCCATCAGAAATATTGAATCCTTAGACAGTTTTAAGAAAGCTGTAAATAACTTTTTTTTGCACAAAGCTTTTAAATTTTATCTATATACATATTATGTTTCTATATTTCTGTCATTTTTAATGTTTTTTACTTAATAATTAAGTGTAGTTCAATTTTTAATATTGTGATGCATAGTTCAACATTTTATATAGATAATTGCGCAATGTAAGTCAATCAGTTATTATTAGTATCCAGAGCTTCAAGATGCATTCAAGCCCGCGATTTACGAGCCGAATAAGTTGGACAATTAAAGATTACCTATTTCGGGTCGAAACTTATTTTGATAGCAATTCCTTTCGAGCTGTAAATGCAGCTAAATAGTTCATTAACCCTTTAACTCCCGGACCAAATTTGTAATTCTCCTTACTGTCAACCATACAATTCTTATAATGTTAATTCAAAGAATTTAGTATTGGATTAACTAATTATCTCCAAATTGATAGTTTCCTTTACTCTCATTACTTGTCTGGTTGATAATGTATTGGTATTGTAAGGAGAAATTCTGTCTTGGTCACTCCTGGGAGTTAAAGGGTTAATCTGGTTGGGCAGCTTGAATAATATTGGCGGTGAGTGGAGTGCAGTTTGGTCCAAAATTAAACGTGGGAATCAACGTGGACCGTGCGCGCAGCGTAAAGTTAATGTGGAACCGCCAGAATGATTTCCGAGTAAATCACGCAACTTCCTTGAAACTAGATTTCAGCATAAAAATATCTTAGTGTTACGAAATAGCGATTCGTAGATAGATCACATTATTGAAATCTGAAAAGTGATTAATTGTTTTTGTATGCTGATCCAATTCCATCAACAGAGGCAGAAAAAGATGCAAGTTTATTCCAAAACCCGGTGCGATTCGTGAATAAATCGCACAGTTAAGAGCCTATCAGATTGCAATAATCACTAGTGACTTCAGAATAGATTTCACAAATAAGGGGATTTCTTTATAGTTGGAACTATTTAGTCAGCATTTTTTGACTTTTATAAGTATTCAAACCTGGAAAAAATATCACAAACATGTCTTTGTGTTTGTCTGTCTTTTCTCTCTAGAATGAAAATGAAATTTTTCATCACCATTTGCATTCTCTTGCTCATGGCTGACCTGCCTGGAACAAAAGGGCGTACCTGCAAAATGTGTAAAGTGAATGAGGCGTCTCCTCTTCCGGTTGACCTGCCGCGCTTATGTGGTGATAGCATAAAAAGTGTTTTTGACGAGGTCTGTTCAGTGTCCGTGAGACGAGGACGCAGAAGAGGTAAACATAACCCATAGTAAAATTAATGTTAGTCCATGGTACAGTTTTAGAAACGAACCAGGGAATTTTGGACAAATGAATGTGATCGTGATTTTCTGGTGAACTTTGCTATCATTAGAGTACTGCAGAGGCTTAGAGGGGTGTTACGTAAATCGACGACCCATATCCTCCCCCCATCCCCCCGCCCCGTGATAGATAATGACCTGTACTAAAGGTTTCACGTGTGGGAGTTTGAGTCAGTAGGCAAGTATAAAATATTGGAATAACATCCCTTATAATAATTGTATTCTGAGGTGTACATATATCTAAGAAAGTATAAAAACTTTATTCGAAAACAAGCATTCAGTATGATATGGTAGCTTTGCATTTTGGCATCTTGACCTTAAAATTTCAGGCGACATATTTGCTTTAAAATATTTTCATTTGTTTGCTCATAAGTTAAGCAAACTTTAATCAGTAGGGCATTGTGGTTGTTTTTACTTTGAGGGGATGTATTGAACAAGGAAAAAACTATGGAAGATTTCCTCATTACGTTACCGATAACTTTTAATCTCCCATGCACTGCCAAATCATCCTCTGATAAAGTTTCCCCTTTACCTAGTTAAAAAACTATTTACCGAAGTGAAAGTGGCTTCGCAGCTCGGTAAAATATCTACCGGTAGCCACCGGCTCTAAGGTGAAAAGTTATTTTAGTCTATACTATAACAGTGATGATATGGCGCAACAAATGTTCTTATCTTTTTTTGTTCCTGCAACAGTAACAATACTTTCGGGTGCAAACCTCGCGCAAGTAAATCGGAAATGATTGCCAAAGGATATTCGAAGTTTGAGTAGCCAATCAGAGCGCTTTCAACGTGATTCACTGTTTTAGTATACATCAATTTTTATTGAGGAAAAAAACTGAATTGTTTTCTTTGTCTGCAGATATGAGCACTGATCTGTTTGTTCAAACGAAAAATGAAGCACAAGATTATCTCTCATACCGAAGACGGAAACGGGGGAAAGGAACTAATATCTACGAAGAATGCTGCGGTGAAAGGTGCAGAATAGAAGAAATTAAGGAATATTGTTAAGCCGACGACTCCATAATTTTTATGCGGATAGCTTTGTGTTAAATAATGCCTCTTAGACTTTATGAAAATCAATCTAGATTTGTCGACTGGTCGATCATGCAGTATGGTAGTCTCGCTTTGGTCTCGCCTCGTGCCACGCTCTCGGAGACCTTACTTATTGTAAAGAAATGGTTGTGGTAGAAAATAAATATGATAGATAAAATAAAAAGGACGAGGAGAAACTCAAAGAGACTATTAATTTTTTACTTTATTTTGAGGCCACTAGTGTTCAAGTGTGAGTTCTTGGGCCGTTTGAAAGCTTGGCAATTTTGAAAAATTTGCAGACTGGGGTGCTAAGTTTTCTAATCCGTGGATCTTTCCCTTTCAAACCTTTGTAATTAACAATTGGTTGATACGTCAGCGTGCGTTCATCGAGGTATGAAGCACGCGGGAAACTGGTGCGAAACTTTACTACAAATTTAAGCTTACTGATTTTTAGGAGCCATCAATCACATTAGAATTAATCTCAGGATACCTTGTAAGGCACCAGTCTTTCCTCAGTTTTAGCTACTTGTCATTTACGATATGTAAAGCTTTAGAGATAGCTATATCCAAACAATATTTACTCGTTTACGTGCGGCGGCTGGCTACAAGCAATTCCTGTTATACAGTGTAAATATGGGTATAGAAGAAACGTGTCCAAATGCTTTCCTTTTACGTTTCCCAACCGTCATGTGCTCAATCTTCTTGTTCATCAGTAGTAGCAGCAGTTGAACTCCTTTGTAGAGCAGTACCTGGGCCAGCCTCCAAACACCTGGAAAAAACCAGTGTTACCATGGACATATGATTTTATTTTGGTTGACGTGCGCTCGCTTTTCGTAAAGCAATCAAATAACTAAAAATAACTACATCCAAGGATCGCAATCGACAATGGAGGGAGGATCAGGCTGTTAGAATGAATGGTTCTCATAGGCCATATTCTTTAGAAAGTTCCTCTTGAATTATTTTCTATTCAAGGGGTCTGCCCCCCTTCCCCACCCTAAGAATAATTTCACATCTCTTATTCTAGTTGCCTGGATGTTTTGGTAAGGAACGAATAGCCACTAAATGAACGTCTAGGAAGATAAAAGTTACCATACAGGTTTGGTTGTATTTAGAACTCCTTAAGATTTTGGAACACGAGGAACACAGGACCCATTTAAACTTGAGTCGCTCCCACCATGTTGCCTCGTACAAATGGCTTAAATGTAGTAGCACCCTACTAGTATTCAGGAGGCTTGGGTTTGAACCTCATGGAAGCCTGAATACTTTAGCAGTTTTTTTTCGCAATTTGTACCTATGCAGTTCACGTGTGAATATCATCCGTTATCCATTCACTTGTTTCCAAATCTGATAATAGCCTAGCAGGAGTAGCCGTGAAAACATGGGCTGTATTTATGATCCAGTCTTCTGGTTGGATTCTTACTTGAATAAATTAACATCACAAATACCTGAACATACCTTTGACTTTCAGCAGTGGCTGGCGTTTGCATATTAAGACTAGTGTCCGGTCCCACCACGCAAACGTGACCTTTCATAAAAATCTGGTGATAGTGGATCTCTGTAACAAGAGTTGAAAGTAAAAAGTGGCTATTTAAAAATGTAACTGTAACATTCTCCACGTAGATGTTCTACCTTTTGACTCCCAAAATTGTTAATCATCTAAGCTCCCCATACAATTGATTAATACAAACATACTGTTAATAGGAATAAAGAAAAAATTCAACTAGAAGACGCTGTGTCACGAGATCATACCACATTCTCAGGAATATCCAGCAAAGGAATTAAATTATGGTTTCAAGTGAGGAGGATGAACTTCTAAATCTTAGAAGTAAAGAGGTAGTTTGAAAACGCAATATATTTTTTCACGGCCAATAGCCATACATTCCTATGAAACAACTTGGCATTAGTAAGATGTCGCCAATTTTTTACGTCAAAAGATTGGAAGATGTGCTTGATATGCTAACATCTCTCACTGCCTGGAACATCACGACAATTTTATGTCAAATAGAAGTCGGCCGTCTGCATATCCATTACACTTTTACCGCATATGAAAGGAAGAGTGAAAAACATAACCAGAAAGTAAAAAACCCGAAAGTGTATATCAGTAAAAGAATTCTGATTAACGAGTTTGGCTTTGGGCTTCCGGGTTGATGTCTGAATAGTTCTTTAGTTAGCAAAACTAAAGTGTCTCACCGGTCTTCCCTCGCTGCTCTTTTTGATGTGTCTGTGTCACCTCCGAGTGCGATGGATCCATAACAGAGTCGCTCCCGTCGGAAGTGTCAGCTGAAAAATTGATGGTGATGAGGAGTCATCTCCATTGCAAATTATTCAGTTATTGGAGTAAATTGTACGAAGTTAGAGTTAATTGATTCAGTCAATTTAATATGATACAGTAAAAGAATTGTCAGTTATTTTGTTGGAATAGATACGGTTTCTTGCATCAGAAGTCATGCAAATTAGTTGGTCAACGCCAGAACGTGTACCAACCTGCTGTTTCTGAATCAGGCATGCAGGCACCTCCTGCACGCGAGTCTGCAAGGGCTAGGAAATCATCGCTTTCAAGACCAATCGTTTCTGATCCCCATTTGTGGATCAAACGCAGTTTGACAACTGTGCCTGCTTTTGCGAAGCTGCGAAATTTAAGGTGACTTTCTGCAATCTTCTCTTTCTTCAGGTCAACCACCTCTTCACCCAATTCCCTCTCCAGATACTCCAGTGCTTTCCTCACATTCTCTTTTTGAGTCGAATAAAGAGTAACGCGAATTTTTTCGTAGAAGTCATAGTTTCTTTTAAGAGCTACAGGCAGAGAAGCGTTTGGAAGTTTGTCTATAACTTCACTGCAGGCCTGGGGTATTGTGATTGTTGATTCAAACGCCCCGATTTTTCGATGATGTCCGTCAATGTGAACATGTGCAACTGCTTCAAGTTTTAAGTCACCCTCAGACTCTTTGTTGATCCAGAATAGCTGCGAAAAGCGCATTCCTCTCGACAAGAACTTTTGGCACTTCAATAAGTCGTTACTTTGAGTGTTGGAAGAATCATTTGGGTCAATCAATTCAAATCTCACAAGCTGTGATGGATCAAATTTGGAAAATTTCAATAGACTCAATGAAAGATTGTGGAAGTCCCGAAGGAAAATTCCTTCATAGGCCTTTGGATCTAACATGATGTCTTTAAGGTAGAGTGAAGCGACTCTTAATCTTTCGCGCAATCTTCGGGGATCTGAGCCTGCAGTTTCAAAGATATCTTCCAACGAATCCAGCATCGTAATAACCATGACAGACCTTCCCCACTCCTGTATCTTTTCATCTGTGCTTTGTGATGGATTGTTATTATTTTCATGGCATAACTTCTCAAGAATATTACTTACTTGAGTGAAAAGACTTAGTATTTTTTTGTCCTTTGCAGCGTTTTGAATCGCTGACGCAATTCTAGTGACCGTCTCCTCATCCAGTCCTCTCATTCCACTTTGTGAAAGTGGGATACTCTCATCTCGGAAGATATCCTTTACGGCTTGAACGAGATGAGGAACCAGCCGAAGAAAAATATCTTTAACAACGTTTTCAGCAGATGAAAACATGGCCTTATATTGCTGGGAAACCTCATTGGAAACAATTCCCTTGGTTACAAGAATATTGGTGTGGTTCTCGATAGAACTTGCCCACTTCATATCTTCCTTTGAATTGGCGATTTCAATGCAACAGTCCCTCAAAATAGATCTGCATAAATTTCTTATCTCATTTTCTAAGTATTTCATCATGTCACGGTCCTCATGATTCAGACAAAGGATCGAAGTCGCCAGTTCTCTCAAATGTGTGATATGCATTTGCCCTCTCTCGTTTATTCTGTATTCTAACAAATAAATCAAATGATTTATAAAAATATTTAGAGCCAAGCTAATAGCAGTACCAATTTCGAAATAATACGCTGGCCATTGATTGTATCTCAAACATGAAACGCCGGTGTTTATCCACCGAAAACAATACAATGCTTGTACTTTTTCATACACTCAAACTATGTATGCAGGTTATTGTGGAATGATGAGATGGAATGAAAATGTCATCAAAGAATTGTAATATCTTACTCATTTCACAAGCTCTTGGTGTACGAAATCTGTATTTGAAATACTGCAACATCCTACCTTCAGGCCTTAGCCCCTCAAGGGATCTTTTCAGCAAGGCAGGACGGGTTTCGTCCCTTTCCTGCTCTTTCCATCTCTGCAAAAGAGTTTCCAGCTGTTTATCCTCTCTTTGCCACCGAGACACAGCTTGGCTCCACGTTTCCGCTGGCAACTCAAGCCTTTCGTGAACGGGTCGAAGGTTGAAAGCTAGTTCTCCTACTCCCAATAGGCGTCTCAAGTAACAAGATAGATCTATAATAGAAAAGATGATGAGGTAATCTCTTCGTTACGGGAGAAAATAAATCGGCTCTTGGAATCATAAACATGAAGTATAATTTTAGATAAAAAAATTATCACATATCATCAACATTGAACGAACAAATCGAAGAAACTTTACATGCTATTCAATGAAATGTCAAAAGAACATTTGATTGAAGCTAACCTAGTTGACAGAAGTCATCCTCGCGGGTATGCCCATACTGGCCTTCAATTTTGACTTTTCCACATAAAATTTTGGCTTTTGTACATGAACTTTGCAACGGAAACGTAACGCTCTTCCCAGTGCTCCACCATACGGACGAATCAACAGTCATTTCAATGCTACCTCGCTGGTTGTTTGCAAGCTTGTAGTCTTCACCAAGCCGTATTGAGACCACCAGGCGTTCCCCATTGTAAATATAGTTGGTTTCTTCGCGAACGTTAGATCCAAGTTCTTCAAACCCATCTCTCTTAAGTTTCTCTAGAACACATTCATCGTGCTCTCGGTAATATCGCTCTTGGTAGACATCCTGGCTCATTAAAGCGAGACCGACCTCCTCGAAAGGATAATTTTCAAGATTGCTTCTGTACAGTACCGACAACGTATATTTGAATGACATGATGTTGAGCCGCGTCACTATTTCTCTCAATTGAACCCAAATTGATCTCAAAAGGACAGCAATTATCGAAAACCCATTAATTTCAGTGGTAACTACCCCATTTACCAAGTCAAACCTTGATTGATCAGTAATAGTTTCCCAAAAAATGTTTCCATCTGTGGCTTGTTTGCCGTGTAGAACAAGCCACTCATTATACGGGCCTTTGCTTTTGTCTAAGGTGATTTTCAAAGTCAAAGATTTGTTAAATTTTAGACCATTTGGTTGCAAATTAATTACGTTTGCGCCAAAACTGAGATCGTTTTCTAGTCCCCTCTGAAATATCAGCCTATAGTGCTTGCAGGGATCTTCCAATGCAAGCGTAATAGTTTCAGGATCGTCAAGAGCTCCAGAAGGCCAAAACAGTTCGACGCCTTCCACCTTCAGTGATCCACCCTCTCTGGACACAAGAGCAGACTCTTCCCTGCCTGAACTATCTTTTCTCGTCCCCGTGGACGAAAAGTTAGGAAACTGGACGTCTCTTCTGGAATCAAAACCGGAATCTTCCTAGGGTGATAGTTTAAGAGTAGGATTTTAGCATTTTTCGATGTAACTTTAGCTGTAACTTTACTGTAAGCTTAAATCTCGCTAGTTCTTATGATTCTATTTATATGAAAGCTTATTTGTCGTTTCTTTTCATGTATTTTTGTTCATAATAAACATTATGATCGAATTTGATTTAATTTCTGATTAGAAGTGGAATGGCTTCCTCGGGTTCACGCGGAGGGCTCAATCAGATCGGCGACACACAAGTGCAATGGCTTGCTAAGATATTTTGGCTAACCACTGTGATCGATACAATGGACCCTCTAGAAAACGGCCTGTTGAGGACACAAGATCATGGCCGTCTGATTGAAAGTTGATTAATCGAGCGCCATATTCTTATTGAAACAGAGGCACATTCTGTCCACCGTTAGATTAATCAAAAGTAAGCTTGATTATCACAGGACCGTCCAGACCATTTGAGGGGGTACTTCATTTACCTTAAGTGATCCAACACCGCTTGAAGCAACTACAGAGGACATACTTTCCGTAAGTATTCCAAGGATTTCATTCGAAGGACATGTCTGAAATGAGACATAACGGACAGAGACGTACATTTTGTTAGCATTAGATGTAGCGAGTCACTGAGTAGCAATATCTATAGGTATCTCAATATTCTAATAGATCTAGGTTTACAACAGATTCAGCACTCCTCATAAGTTTATTGTTGCGGTTTGTGTTTCTACTCTTGTGTGGTTTGAACTTGAAATTCTTACCTGTCAATGCTGAGCTTGATAAGGGTCAAAACTGCTGTCTATGTTACATTAGGCGGAATGATGGGACTGGGGCGCTTGAAGGTGGAAGGTTCGAAGCTGCTATTCCAGAGTTCTCCGAATTTTTCTCTTCGTAACCTATGTATTTTTTTCCACTTACCTGTCTTACTGTTTGGGGGAGAGGGGGGGGGGCTCGAAATAACACACGCATCAAGTCCTCCTTTATAATCTGTTTGCAACCACCGTACCCCCTTCCCCCCGTTTCCTCGAAAACCGAGCCATCCTTCCAAAATCCTCCAGACTTCCCCCCCCCGGCGATAAATCAGCGACTGGTCCCCTTGTTTGCATGTAAACAAGAACAAAAGACATTGTACAGGTAGAGAGAAAATTTTTACCTCAACTCTTGACTCTGATGGTGGATCGGATGTGTCCATTATCTGGCAAGTTACTGGTGTAACACTTCTAGGGGTATAGAAATTATTCCCTGAACTCGTTCCTAACGAGTCTTCATGGCTGGACTCGCCCGTCTGAGGAAAAGAAGTGTCTTGTTCAGTTGAGGATTTTAAATACATTATCAATGTTTGTGCAAAATGCTTAGGGGAGGGAGGGAGGGAGGGAGGGAGG